GCATTGGTTTGGTGTATTGGGGCATGGGTGACTATCCAAATGCACTTGTATTCTATGAAAAAGCCCTTCTAATTGGTAAAGAATCACTTCCTTCAAATCATCCTGATTTGGCTATGTATTACAACAACATCGGTTCAGTGTATTACAATATGGGTGACTACTCCAAAGCGCTTGAATATAATGAAAAAGCCCTTATAATTCGACAACAATCACTTTCTGCAAACCATCCTGACTTGGCCATATCTTACAATAATATCCGTTTTTTGACCACTTTTTTTCGACATGACCCTCATTTCAGTCGAGGGAATGAAAAAGCCCTTGAAATTCAACAACAACATCTTCCGCCAAATCATCCTGATTTGGCTGCATCCTATGCCAACATCGGTAATCTGTATTACAACATGGGTGACTATTCAAAAATATTTCCATATTATGAAAAAGTCGTTGCCATTCAACAACAATCACTTCCTCCAAATCATCCTCATTTGGCTATGTCTTACAGCAATATCGGTTCAGTGTATAAAGACATGCATGACTATTCCAAAGCACTTGAATATTATAGAAAAGCTTTTTCTATTCAACAACAGTCACTTCCTCCAAATCATCCTCATTTAGCTTTAACTTACAAATTCATCGATACGGTGTGTTATAGCATGATAAATTATGCAAAGCTTTTTATGAATGTGTTACACAAATTGGAGAAAAGCCATGGTCACTAAATTATTCTATTCTTGCACAACGAAGGACGAATCTTGAGTGCATAACGAAACTATAACTCGTCAATATTTTAGTTTTCCTATATCCAAGAGTAAACTACCGAATAAATATAAATGCGTGCAAACGAAGAAATTCTGCTCACTGTCTTTTAAACACTAAACTGGGCAGAATCACCCATCATAGTGAAGTAAAAAATACATGTCTGTAATAGACATGTATTGTATGGTAAAGTGACCACTCATCAGGCTATCTTACGTTAAACAGAAATGTNTTGGGTGTAGTAGTTTTAGATGATGCTCTTTCATTTGCGATCATAAAAAAGGGGGGTCAAAATTTTTGAGAGTATGGCTATATTGAGAAATGCTCGATATTCTCATGGACTGTCTCTTAAACACTAAACTGGGCAGAATCACCCATCATAGTGAAGTAAAAAATACATGTCTGTAGTAGACATGTATTGTATGGTAAAGTGACCACTCATCAGGCTATCTTACGTTAAACAGAAATGTATATGATGAATGGTTCATTTGTATTTTAGAAAAAGAATAATTAAACCTATAGATATGCATTGAGAAGAAGAAGAGTTTCAAGAAAAAATATCGTCTTAAAATACTGTAGAGCAGATCAGTATTCCAAGATGAAAATGATGAGTAGTGAGTGATGTTTGTATAATTGTGATCATATTAGACGAGAAAAAGGATTTTATATTTTATTCATTTATAAAAAGAAAACAGACGATAAAATTCAAATGTAATGAATTTTCACGCACTGCAGAAAAAAATGACTCGTCTTTTCTTCTCTCATATGTTTATTCTATTACCAAAACTTTTGATTGATTCCTGAAATCTACTGGATATCTCAAGAGTTTTGCAACATTTTGTATTTCTTGTATATCTCGGCTTATGTTTACAATCTAATCTTAAAGTTTTGTTTTACAAAATCTCTATGAAGAAAATTCGCATTATCTTGAGCGCTTTTCTACAATTAAAATAAACCATCTATATAGCAATGTTTTTTGCCAGCATGTTGAATTAATAAATGTTGAGAAAAACATTTTGTTTTGCAATAAAGTTTTTTTGTCTAAATTTCATGCAGTCATTAATGGCGTTTTTTTCTTTTTAAAAGATTCAAGATAAATAGAAAACAGAAAGAAATTCTTCGACACACTTACAATATGCCGGGAAGTGAGATATCCATATAGGTTGTTCATTCAGAACGATTTTGCAGATATTTTCAAAGGGCATTTTTTGGAAAAAAAACTTGAAATGATATTATTTACACAAGTCAAGATATATAGAAAATATCGCAAAACGTTTGTGACACCTAGTGTTCATGTAGAATTTGTTCGATTAAATCAAATGATAGAACGAATGCATTATTTTAGTAATTGATTTATGAGTTAATAATGAACATATATGTACAAAATAAAATTCCATTTTTATATTATAAAAATGATCTGTAGTCTATTTTAAAAAAGGAAAACTTCCAATTGAACTCAAATTTAAGATATATATATTTCGGAAAGATATCATAAAATAATAATATATTAGAAGATGATTTGATAATATTTTTATCTATATCAATGATGATTTAGTCGATTCTTTTGTCTTATAGTTACCACTAATTGAAATATTTCTTTTATGTATGACATTTCTCAAGACTGGATCATATTATAATATTCTGTTCACTATTATGTCCAAAATTAATTGAGACAAAAATTTTAATTGGACAACATTCTTAAAAGTTTAGAGCGTTTATAAACTGGATCGAAATCGTACTCTGTGCTGCAGGTCAAACGTCAAGGATTATATCTTTACGATACTATACTATGAGAGTATCCATGCATCCTCATAGAAGAAATTAGAATAAAACTCTATAATGAAACTTACATTGATGTGGAAGTAAAAGTTCGATATCTAACTATTAAATCATCATTTATTACTTTTATATTATCTATTAAACATTTCAGTGTGTATTTATCCTTCATTACAAGTGAAAACGTATTTTACACATACTCCTATCAGTGATAAACTTGATATTTTGAAATGATAGGAGATCATGTAATCGCTTCATTGTCTATTGATCGATTCGTCACTATTATCCTGTGTATGTAAAAACAGCTCACATAATAAATGACCGAGTTTGTTATTCAGTAATAAATCTATTCAAATATTTCGTGAAATTCTTTGAAAGTTATCGATTAATAGTTTTCATAAATACTTTCGAGTTTAAATCTTTATTTGAATTGTATGAAAAATACAGATATTTAGTAGTGAAGTTATTATTTATTGTCTTACAGTAAATATACAGACGAAGCATTTGTGTACAAATATTTATTATACTAAAGCAAGATTAACATCAATCAGTTACAAATTATTTCAATTAAAAGTTTATTTTCATAAGTATTTTAAAAAGGTCTATAATCTTCTAGAAGTAATATCTGTTACAATTATATCTAATATTGTATCATTATTAAAACCTTCTGTTGTAATGAAAGTTGATAAAAAAAAACTCAATTAAATAATTTGTTTGTTTGTAAAACGATCTTTCTCCTTTTCTAGGAAATACGTAAGTATTTCTATTAAAATTAGCTAGCCACTACAAAATCTAACGTTTATCAACTATACAAGTCAGTAGAATTCTTCATGTACTATTTTCTCTCTTGAACATTCTATAACAAAGATTAAAAGTATTTCTAATTAATGTTCGTGGTATTGTACATACAAAACATGATTCTGCATATTCAAATAATCCATTATATTGACCAGAACGTACACTGATAGCACTATCTGCATTGGTAGATACAATGAGATCAGGGAGGTTATTATCTTTCTTGAAATCATCTGATATAGCATATATGAGTTGTTCATCAATCATAGAATCCATTCCTGTCTCAAACGATTCATTTCTACATTCAAATAAAATACTTATCGTATATCTTCATTCTGATTCACTACAACTCGATCAGGAATCACGATGGTATTTTACCAACAACATAATCTAACTATTATTTTAAAATATTCCATTTCTCCTTCCAAATAACACACTAACTGAAATATCGTTCGAATTAAAATAAGAAAAAAAGATCTTAATGATTTCTATTTTTTAATGTAAAATTCCATAAAGAATAAAGATGAATTGAAGCATTTTCACCAATTGTTAATCTATTTGAAAGTCGTTAGAATGTTTCATTTAATATTTGTTGAACATAATATGATAAATTATGAAATAAATCATTAAATGATTCTCAAAGGCTTTTGATAGAGATAATACGGATTGTTATAAATATCTTTATTGCAATAATATCTGATAATGATTTAGAATTTATGTCGATAAACCGAGCATTTGATATTCTTGAAAGAATAAGATACTCCTCGGATTTTAAATTATTCATTGATCCTCGGTTACTATCGTGAGGTCTGTATGGATCCGCCACGGATTTTTTTGTTACATTTGACTAAATTATTCACTGTTCTGAGTCATTTGTTTAATGTAGTATCTAGGCCGTGAATTGTGTATAATATAGTCACGGAAAAATTCATATAAATGTTCGAGAAAAACAATGTAGATATGAATCCGCTTGGATCTCAGCACATCATCTGCGCTATAAATATCGTATGTTACGGATCAAATTCTGTTGATGTTAATTAAGTTATAAGTTATTTGGAGATTCATCTATTGTATAATTGAGTGATATTTTGTTTTATAAAGTATAATAAAGTTTTACTATTTCCCGAATAAAACTAAATTTATGAAATTATGAGTTTTTCACCCTCACACCCTCACCCCACACCCACACCCTCACCATCACCCACACCCTCACCCACCCTCACCCCCACACCCACCCTCAACAGATGCATGAATCTAAAGAAATATTTAAACTTTTTAAAAAGTCAACAATCTTGTTGGCTAATGTTTCAGCATCGAATTCATCTAATGCAACGGAGCCAAGAAAACATTCCTTCACAACACTTAAAGCGTCAATTTTACGATCATTAACACCACGAACAAATCTAATAACAATGGATAGTTGCTGTCTGTCACTTATATCTCGACATTCATCGGCCATTAATGCATAATTACAGTTAGTCAACTGAAAAAATATAGAAAAACTCAAATATAACACATTAATTCAATAAACGTAAATTACCATGAAAGCAATATCTTCGCGAATTTGACTACTCATTATATGAATTATTTCGTTTTGAATGTCATGACTTAAGTAAGTAGCATTGCTCGTGGAATCTTGAAAAATTGACTGCACTATAGGATCAGTCTGTGCTGCCCATTTGAGAATCTCCAAAAAATTGCCTCGATTTAAACTTCTAAAACAAAGCAAACAGAAACAAATTTCAGTATGTTTTAAGAAAATAAGAATGAACCTAGTGATACGGATATAGTTTTTCTCTTCTGAACCACAATGAATGTACGTACTGTTCACTCTCGTCATGTCCTCTAAAGATGATCATTTGACGTGCCATCAAGTGTAGTGTTGAAGATATTTTGATAAGACGATCACGATTTCTTTGGATTTTAATACTATGACTAGCATCTAATTTATGAAGAACATTTGAATTTATTTTTTCTCGTTCTTTATATGATTCATAGTTTCTTGCTGCTATTATGTTAGATTGACTTGAAGTGTGTCTCGTTAAACCTGAATTTTTTCTAAAGCTTTTTTCCATTGATTAAAACCTGTTGTTGAAAAAGCGTCATTAGAATATAATTTGTTAGATGAAAAATGACGGCAAAAATAACAATAACAAGTATCATTTAAAACAGAATATTCCAACCAGATTCTATCCTTGTACCAGCTTGATTGAAATGAACGTTTCTGCTTGTTTAGAGGATAATTTTTCAACATTGGTTGAACAGGTAGATCGTTGGATGATGTACTGATATCGTTGGGAATAGATTTTCTTCCAAAGGTTTCATTTAAGGGAAAAGATGCTGTGCGAGAAGAAGATTATGTATCAAATGTGATANATGACGACTTATTTTCCTAGTGGATTGTAATCACAACAAAAAACATGCTCCTTCACCATGTCTGGGTGTGTGGTCAGGCGAAGACATAGGATATTAAGGGTCATTTCTACATATATCATAAACATTGCTATAGATTCACTCATCTTGAATTCATCGGTAAGTTTTATTCGACTAAATTTGGAAACATGTCCAATGAAGAAAAAGATGTTTTTTCTAAAAATAATTTGGTTAAAACTAATGATCATTGTACTACATGTATGCAAAGGTCTTCTAAAGAAATAAAAGATCTTGTGCTAGTGTAACTACCAAATATAAGTATGGGATTGTCAAATTCTACAATGTTCACTAGATGCAAATATACTTCATAAAGAGTAAATCCAGTCGATATCTGTCTTGAAGATGGACGTACACGTTCGAGACTCGATAAAACAAACGATCTAGGTAAAATGATATTTTCAAAATATGTTGCAGTATATATACATGTATATGTAGTAATCAACAATTATGATCTGTCAATGATAAATTAGCTTTATAGATTTCATTTAATGTATTTTCAAACGTCAGTAAATATTGATTTTTGTTGTATATCACTTGAATGAGAACTATTCTCAAACAATGATTTCCTAGAGCATGTTTCTGTCTTTTTGTATGGAATATGTTCATGCGAGTCAACCTTGACGAGTGTTATTTATAATTAATTTGAACAGAATATTAAAATCATTCGACTAATTTCTTTATTCAATAGAATAGCAGAAAATTGATACGAATATTTGCACTATTTAATTCTTTTCGTATACAATACAGATATTCATTTAAAAACAAATATTTCTTCATATGAACTCATATTTGGTCAACAAGCAAATCTTTCAATAATATAACAATAGTTAAATTCAGTTATTATTATTCATAAAAATTTGCTTACTAAACAAATTCAAATTATATATTTCACAAACTATAAAAGCGAATCTAAATATTTACATAATAGCCCATGTAAAAAAAAGTGCGTAAAAAGTACTTTTAAAACTATCCATATTAAAAAAGTATGATTATTAAACTTTTCCTACTATTTCATAATTTATTAAGTGGAAAGTAGTACTAAATTAAACTCCTTGAAGTACTTTCCAGTGAAAAATAGTTTGTTTTAATATATCTAACCGGTCATTTTATTTCATTTCTAAAAATTTACTCTTAGTATTCGTCTGCTGAAAATACTTTCAATAGTACATTTAAATACTTTTAATTATACTTCAAGGTACTATTCTAGGTGGATACTACATAGTACAGTACTTCTAAGAATTATAGAGCAAATGATTAACCCTTCTTGATTATCTAAAATGCATAATAGATTCAGACGAAATTGTTTTACGTTAGATAATATTTCTTCTGTACATTTTCTCGCCATTATATGAGATGTGAATTTATGAGTACAATTAGTAAGATACTTCCTTTCGCGTAAAAAAAGCAGTGGCCTTATTATTCGTAACGATATCCATATATGACTGTGTGAACACATAAACTATATGCGATCGGAAATGCCTAGAGTGTGAGTAAAGAAGCTTCCGCTTACATGATGGTAAATTTCAATATGTTTTATAAAAAAAAACAAATTGAGCTGGTAAGCGGTATTTTGAACTATCCTTTAGTATATATTGATAGGAATATGCCTCAAGATTTAGTAAAATATGTTTCTTTTTCATTTCGAACCACGAGTTATAAAGCAAATTCTGTCTAATGTCCAACAGAGGGTCACAAATCGCGAGTTCACGAAAAGCTTTTGTGAATCAGTTGTATACTTTATATCACTTCTCTGAATTTTTCCCTGGTTTCCATTTTTCATATGTTACTGGCACTTTGTGTTCTCAGCAATGGTACAGCGTTAAAACTGTTTGATGAATCACTCCATATATGTTATATGGTGTGTTGTAGTTCATTGACCAAGGCTTCGAAGAGTAACAAATCCTGCAAAACGAATCTAGGACCTACAGATAAGCTTATGAATTCGATCTGCTTTGCGATCACCTCCTTTTCCTATTATAACTATCCCGAGATCTGTCAATTAGAGCAAACCACTACATAGTTTGTTAAGTGGAAAACTAGTACGAGAATATGGTGGTTTGCTCTAATTGACACATCTCTGGATAGTTATAATAGGAAAAGGAGTTGATCACAAAGCAGATCGAATTCAGAAGCTTATCTGTAGGCCCTAGATTCGTTTTGCAGGATTTGTTATTCTTCGAAGCTTTTCTCAATGTCGCTAAAAGTCATTATACAACCTCTAAGAACGTTACGTCAAACGATACTTTCTAATACTTTCAACAGCTAATTATAGTACTTTTTACTACTAAGCAAAATGTTGTTTTGGTAACTTTTTTCACTTATCAATTAAATATGAGTAGTACTTTATAGTACACTTTTAGGACTAAAATTTTTACATGGAGTTTGTCTCACGTCGCGGCGGTCTCACTCAGGGTAGGTAACAAACTGAAGTGTTAACGAGCCAGCACACGACATTACCTCTCTCAGCTTCAAACTTCATCTTTGTCTCTTATGGTTTAAGAGAAGAAAAGACTTTGTGGTCTCAGAAATTGAAACTATTGTTGTAAAGATATTAGTTTCACAATGTTGTGCAATAACAAATGACAATCATTCAATAACATGAAAAATACATATATTACTAACCATGTGCGTAATTACACACTTCTATCTATCATTTTGTGTTTTGTCGATAGATAACTATTATCTTATCTTTGTGAGCAAATCCAACTATTAATGTAAAGAAACAAAACTGTTGTTCGCATTCATTAAATACAAAATACTCAAAGTGTTGTTTTTCACTCATTGAAACAGTTATCAATCATATATAGTAATATAATTAACTGTTGTCCAATACGAGAGATTTATCAAACAAATGGTATCAAATGTAGCATATATTTTCATGTTGATGTGTTTGATAACTACATATATTGCAAAGGCAAACAGTGAAATATGTGAGTGCGCTTGCTGTATTGGTCAAGGTTGCACACCAATTGCAAAACCTCCTGTATTCATACCATCATGTAAGGATGGTGCATGCGGTGTTACATGTACAACTACGTTTCCAAATGATTGTGCTGTTTCAGGATCCATGTTTACAGCCACATGTTCTTCAGCAACATCAACTATCGTCAATCGGCATGCATCATTTATCATCTTCGGAATCGCTTTTGCACTTTTTGTAAAACAAATTTCTTAAAATGCACACTTGATTAATGACATGTTAAACATCTTCCTATCTATCGTGAGGGTGTGAGGGTGAGGATGAGTTTGAAAGAAGAAATAACTTTATTCCTAAGCTATTCTACGACCAGCTTCGTCCTTGATTATGGCCCCTCTAAAAAATGACTCTCAGCCTAGACACATTCAAATGAGCTGAAATTTGGAGCATAAGTCGGGCCTATAATCAGGAGGGTGTGGTAAAATTTTCAGCGTGATACCTTGAGAATTAACGGAGATATAAGCAAAACAAGGCTCAAAAGTAGATCATCATATCTCCGAGATTTATCCATCTAACTTCATTGTATATCAGATTTTTTTTGTTTGAAAGCTTGTCACCGGCATTAGCTTACCTCGTGGCCCTCTTTTCTAAAACTCTTCGTTATATGTGCCAAAAACGGATGAAAAATGGTGTTTTTTCCGGAGAGATGTGCTTTTATATCTTAATAGAACGCTTACTTTGAAAAAAGAGCCACGAGATAGGCTAGCCCTAGAGACAAGCTTTCGAACAAAAACGAAGTTGGCTTTATAATGTACCGTCGTTTGATAATATATTCTGGTTCATACTGATTAAACTGTATTTCATTTTTCTAGCCAATAGTCTCTGTTATTAGATGTTTAAATGACAGAAAACTATAGAACTGAAAATAATATGACAAGGGAGAGAAGTGCGCCAAGTAAAACTTTACAATGACTGTACACACATGTCGATTATCAAGTATTACCAATATTAACATTGACAAAACGCTCACACGGTAATACAATCTTGACGGTGCGGATGCGCGTTAGAGTAACTGACTTACACCTCATCCTCACTTTCAATGTCTTCAATATCGAATCGAAATGTCACTTATGAATTTATTAAAAATATAAAAAGGTCAAATATTCTTTCTGTATTTCAAGATTTATTTATTAATAATAACTCACAATTCTTTGACCAATCATTGTTTATAGAAATATTAAATATATAGGAATAAAGGTATTTTTTAGAGTGATAGCATCACTTCTCGTTGTAGGAGCACCGGTGCTCTTCATTGTAGTAGCATCAGTTGTCTTTGTATTAGCTATCTGAATGACAACATTAGCAATACCACACATATTCTTACCACGTACTATTTGAAAATAACCTTTCTGACCCCAATTTTCACCTAAATTTTTTAAATACCATTATAATAATAGAAATAACTTATCATAAATTTCTTCTCATCCCAGCTAAGTCTACCTATCCAATATGCCCAGGTCATTTCCACTCGGTCGGAACCGACCGGTTCCTCATGTTTCTTTGCCGCCGGAATCCGGCCGGTTTTCTACAGGTTTTTACCGGCAAATTCCTACTGGATCCAGACAGAAACGACGACAATTGAGAATGAGCTGGACCCGGCCACCATCAGGAACCAGCTGAATCCGGTGACCGTCAAAAACCACTTGAATCCGGTGACAATCGACAATCAGCTGNTCTAGTTTTTTTCACTACTCGTCAGCTATGTCTATTGATCTCGGCGGACGTCCAGCTTTCAATAGACCGTCCGAGAAGACCCTATAAATATCCATGCATTTTTCATTTTCTATTTATTTCTGGTTTTTCTTACTAGTCGTCGCTATATCGATGCAAATCTATCGACGGAAAATTCTCAATAGCCTGGCATTCAACTAGGTAAGTGATAATATTTAATAAACCACATTCTATGGTCTTTCTCGTTGAGGGTGAGGGTGGGTGAGGGTGTGTGGACGTTCGAAGATTGTGAACTACGTTTCGTACCACTTATTCCGAACACCCACGCCGTATATTCTGTAGTGGCTGAATACGGAGCCTGTAGGAGGATAACTATAAAGGAGTCTGTGACTAACCCCAAGAGAACAACTAATGCAATGAAGGTTTCGCAGCTATGGATTTTTACGAAACATTTTTTAATAGACTTACACATGGTTCCGTATGGTACCTATGATACGGAACCTTCTGTCTTTTGAAGGAAAAAGTTTCGTGCTAAACCTCTGCTGCGGAACCTTCGTTCTCAGTTTTTCCTGTAAGGTTGTCTTTGGAATCTTTATTTTACTTAACCAAAAAGGATCGTCCCGTGTCTTGGAGGAGCCGGTTACCGAGAATAACATGATTTGCGAACTTCCGGTGTGTGGAAGTCGGAGGTTTTTGTAGGAAACTTTATAGGCAGTATCCTGCAATACTGATCGATCGGAAGTGAAGGAAAGTTTGATGGTTCCTTGTGAAGAGTTTGGGAGGATTAGGTCGGAAAGTACAGTGTGTGATCCGGTCAAGGCCCGTGCACTGGATATCTGGAGGTTTTTTCCTTTTTTGATGAGCGGAAAAAGTTGGAATACGTCGGAAAGTTTCATGCGCGTTCCCCTTCGGATCCGCTGACAGGAATGGAGGAGAGCGATGGCGTTTCCCGTGGAAGGGAATGTCCCTTAAGCAAGGATCGAAATCGCGATCGTAGTAAGGCTTGACTCACCACTGGGTATTGTAATTACTATTACATATCTTGTTGTCATTTCGTTTGATGACAATATGTAACTATGTGATTAAAAGAATTTGATTTTGCTCTTATTCATTTAAGATCATTATTAATTCTTTAAAGCCATCTGATGAACTTCTTAGCAGAAGTGAAATCTAGATAATGGCAGCTAGTCTCACCCTGCATTATACATCCGAGAATCGATTGATCGATTACAAAAAAGGCTTTCATCAACTTTGGAACCAGCAGTTCTCCAATACTCCAGTCATCAACACACGCCTGATAATAGGAAACAAAAACAATCCCAATCTGACCAAACGACTCGTACATCGCCAAACCAAGCGTTAACTCAAACACAATCCACCGAAACAATAAAACAAACAATGCCTTATTTTCATCTCATTCAAATGTATATTTGTCTGTATTTCTCTTAATAAACATTTCATCCTCAGCTACTATTACTAACAAATTAAATAATATCGTTCAATTTTCTCACACTAGCTCCTTTCTTCTCCTTCCAGATAGCTATAAAACAACTTCTCCACTTTCTCAGCAATGTAACCATTGAGACACATGTCAACCAATGAATTTAACATTGCCGAAAAATATTAACACGTTATAGCATTAACCGCCCATCTTCTTCCCACACTATAATTCCGCTGAATAACCCAACCGAACTACACAAAAACAAACAAAGCAAAACTCTCCAAGCTCAAAAAACAAAAGTTTCATTCAAACACTACGCCGACATCTACTATTCCCGCGAAACACACAAATATAGATATCACCGCCATTCAATGAACCAACCAATTCACCGACTTCTTTCACAGTGCATCCATTCAATATATAAGAAAAATCAAAACATTAATATCCGTATCATTCATCGACTTCCGAATGACTACAACAGCAGACAGCGATAATGGCGTGCTTTGACTCATCACTACGATAATGATATCTACTATAACAACTACGTTCTCTTCGGAAAACTAGTCGTCGAACTATGTAGATTAAGTGGATTCATCTATGATTTGACCTAACAGTCTAGTCATTAGGATAATCTACAAAGTCTAAAGCCATCTGATGATTCCCTTAGCCGGGATGAAATCGCGATAATGGCGCGCTTTGACTCAAAATTACGAAGTCCAAGTTTGGCAAAAGTTCTACGACTTAGGTACGAAGAAACACCATTGGGCTAAAGAAATTGTAAATAGCACTCATACACGAGAGGATGTGATAAAAAGATAGAAAAATTCTCAACATCATGTTTTGAAGAGAGTAGTAAAATAACTCAAAACATGAAGAATTTACCATCCATCGCTGTTGACTTAGTGCATACTATAATGCTTGATTATATAAAAATAGAAACAAAAGGTTTATCAAAAATGAGCACAAATCGCATACGTCAAGCTTCTATAGAGAAAGACGAATGGGATGCTCTACAAGCATTTGAACAAATTGCTTCAGAACAACAAAAAGCATATGCCAAAACCTTCTGTAAATCAGCTATGAAATCGTATCAAAGAAAGAAAAAGAAATTTGATATGATGACTGAACATGTTCGATTTGATATAATACCGAAAATCTTACCTAAATGCGAGTTAAGTCTTCCTGTGGATGAAACTTCACTTTCAAGTGAACAAGCCAAGGAAAATAAAGACAGCATAAAAAAACTAAACAGAGATTTCCGTTTACAAACGATGCAACTCTATCTGAAAATTACTAAAGAAGAATTCGAATTTCGTAAAGATAAATTCGACAAGCTTCTTGCAGATTTTCCTGAAGATAAGATAGAGATGCAAGAGAGCAATGAAATTCCACTGACGCAAAAAGCGTATCACAATGATGAAGCAGAAGGAGTTTATACTCAGAAAACTGCAGTACCCGCTCCTTCTCAAATACCATTAGATACCGGCTCAGCGATGCAGTTGTACGAGAAATACGTAGAACTAGCACTTAAAAGAGCAGACTACGAAACTCAACGTGAGTTTCTTTTTTTAGAAGAACAAAGCGTCAAAGAAACGCCCTTCGTAGTACAAGTAGTAAAGGATGTCAATCCTATACTACGACAGGATTTCATGCTCCAAGCATAATTAACCAATCTCGTATTTATCTAGAAAAAAACGAAGAGGCTCTGTTGAAACTTGGCCCTCGTTTTATTCCTAATAACCCGCTACTTGCAAAAAAACGTGTAACACACGAGGTAGAAGTGGTTGTTAAGAAAATTCAAAAAATCTTTTGCGAACATGGATGGATTCTACCGAAAGAACGACTAAGAGATTTTACCGGGTCACTGGAAATGATTCTAAAACAATGTCATAGTCAATATCCACCAGCAAAGCAATTAACTACTGTCGAAAATCTGAAAAGAAAATTCAATGCTACGGAAACAGTCATACGTAAAACAGATAAATCGAAAGTGTTCCATCTCGGTAACCTCGATGACTATAAACAAAAAGCCGAAAAACATATGAATAAAACTAGAGCATATGAAAGTCTGGGTAATATAAATCCACTTGAATCTTTAGTTGAAAGAACAAATAATTTTCTTTATGGTTTATGGGGAAATAAACATATAGATCAGAAACAATATGAAAAATTGAAAGTAGATAAAGAACGAGCTGAACTAGCACATCTTTATTTTCTTCCAAAAGCGCATAAACCAATCACACCATCGATTCGCTTATGACCACTTGCTTCTATTAGGCGTTTTATGGCTGTTACACCTCCTTCTTGTGGTATCATGGT